GACTGAGCCAGCACGGCGGCCATTGCCGCCTGAGGTACCTGGGAGCGGAGGACCTCTCCTCCCTCCCTCGTCAGCTCTCTCTCTCTCTCTCTCCTCCTCCTCCTCCTTCTTCTTCTCCTTCTTCTTCTTCTTCTTCTTCTTCTTCTTCTTCTTCTTCAGATTGGAGACTATACTAGTTGGACAGAGATCAGAGTTGGACTTCGGTGATAGGAGACTGTGGTACTTACCGGATTGGAGACTTGGAGATCGTTGGGGTTGGTACTTGGCGACATCACAGTTCGGACACCGGTTACATTTGGACTCTGTAYCTCCGACATTGGTGACCTATGGTCCTYGACATTKTGATCTTGTTGGATGACATTTTGGACTACCATATCGGTGACCTATCAGATTCTATCTCGGTGACTTTCAGTGCTGTCTACCTGCCCCACCTCCTTTGTCTCTCCTCCCCCATTCATCTGTGTATGTCGTGTACGGGGCTGAGCATCTTCTCTGTATGGCTCAGACCCCACCATCTCACGATTGTATGTGTGTGGAGTGATGCCATGTAAGTCAGTCCGTTTATCAGACTTGCGCTGCATACATGCTCATCCTATATTGGTTGATCTTTGGTTCTGCCCATACTCATCGAAGTATGCAACAGTTTTGGTATCGGAGCAGACCATATAACGGATCTGCTCACGAAGGTAAGTCTGGTTAGGAATTAGATTGCCTTCTCAATCTTCCAAATCAGCGCTGTACCACTATTAAGTTCAAAGTTGCAAAATTTTTTCTTTTCGGTATTCTATTTAGTTCGACATATCCGTTCAATTCGGTATTCGGACTTATAACTCGGATTTCTGTTTCTTCCGGTATGCTGCTATTTGAGTTCCGATTGAGTAATACTAATCCTATAATTGATTAAGTTTCGGATTTCTGATGTTACACGAATTAGGGTTGAATCAGTATCATGTTGAAATTCGCGGTTTCTGATTTCCATTCAGCATTCCGTTTTTTTTGGCATTTTTGTTGAAAATCCTATATTTCGTTGTCTTTTGAATTTCCGTTGTCTTTCAGTATTGGAAATTAGGGTTACGAAAATCTTTGGGTTTTAGATCAACTCGGGGAAATTCGAACGTTTTGGGACCGTAAAAACCGGAAATTTCGCAGAAACGCGGAAAATTAGGGTTGGGACCGAAATTTTCGCGATTTTTTTTTTTTTCGTTCCCCTTGTTTGAGAAATTCCGAAAATAGGTTTAGGATTTTAAAAATCGGATTTTGACGGTGGAAATTCCCAAAAATTCGCGTTTTTGAAAATTTGAGCGTTTTTTCTTCTGAAATTTTCCGAATTTTTTTTAGCACACTAAGCCGTATCCGACCCTCAAACTGCAACTTCCGGGTAGTTCACTCAGTAACGGTGAACTCCCGGACTCAAAGTGATCTCAAAGAGACCTAATCAYAATACCTTTCAAATTCGTTTATTATCATGATTGCAATTATTGTTATTGAGTATCTTTATTGCAAATAATGATTATTGGTTATCTTTATTACAAACATTGTTTTACTGATCATCATTCGGATTTATTTCGTTAATTATCATTAATTAATTTTATTGATTAAATCGTTATTAATTCCTTATTACGAATTTTTTGAAGGGTTTACGGGAAATTTATTTTTTCTGTTTGATTAGGTGTCTACAGTCCATCAGTGGGACAGGGGATTGTATGTATATTGCTTGATTGTTCTACCCCTGTTCCCACTCTCCCTACCCCCCTGTATTCTGTGAACACCGGCACCTCTCAAGTACCGCATCAGTTCAGACTGATGTCGATGGAACAGGACACCGGGGCACTGCCACTGTGCAGTGCCAGGATCGCAGTTCGTGCCCGCCCTGCGGTACCTCCAAGACCCAAGAGATTCWGCAGACGGACGACTCCAGCGGCATCAAGTACGGCATTGACAGTATAAGACACCACCGGAGATCTTCCCGCATGCCCGGTCCGAGAGGCCAGCGAGCCTTTGGCTGACTATCGTGGGCGGCTACAGGCATTTACAGACGCCGTAGCCGCCGCCGAGGCTCAGCAGGCTGCGGGAGAAGCAGAACGTCAGCGGCTGGCCAATGAGGCGGCAGCCGAAGCTCAGCGGACAGCTGAGACTGACGAAGCGGCACGAAACAGACGGAATGCCGCCAGCATGGAGTCCCTGATTGCTAGGGAGCATCAGTGGACAACGGTACTCCAAGGCATGATCTTTGTGCCTACGGAAACGCAGGCGGAGCCGACACAGGCGGAGGCAGAGAGAAGTAACCTGGCTACCGTGATGTTGAACGTAATGAGGGGAGTAATGTGGACCAACAAACTACTGCAGGCACACCTGCACGCGGAACGACAGCAAAAACAGCAGTACCAGCAAGACCTGGCCGCTGTAACGGTCGGCGTCCGCGACGCAGCAATGCAGCAGCCGCAACAGCAACAGCTGATGAACTCTACCATCGCACGCATCAACGGCATTGAGGCCAAGGCCTCAGTAGCGCCAGGCTGCACGACGGACGCGACGAAGCAAATCAACGAACGCATCGATCACGTCGTCACCATCATCGGCGACATAGGTGTTTTCAACGGACCGGACACGATCAGCAGCACGGTGGCCGCCATCAAGACGGACATCACCAAGCTACAGACGAGACCGGACGCCGCTACAAAGATGTTCAAGATGCCGCACTTCGACATCTGCAAGTTCGACGACTACAACAACTCGGACGCTTTGACATGGTGGCAACGTTTCCTCACGGAAGCGTCATGCCGCACTGTCCCGGCGAAGGACATGTTGAAGGCACTCTATTTGCAACTGATTGGAGGAGCGCAGGCATGGATGAACCACCTGGCGGCCACCCACAAGTGCACCATCGCCGAACTCCACACGCACATCACGTGGAAGGAGTTCGAGCAGCTATGGTTCACCCGGTTCATGGTCCGCAACGTCGTGAAGGCGGCCATGAATGAGGTGTACACATGCTCTCAAGGGAACATGCCAACTCGAGACTGGACAACGAAGTGGCAAAAGATAGTGACCACACCAGGCTTCCACTTGACGTTTCCAAATCAACGATTCGAGTTCTTCTCGCGATCATGCGCGGGATTGCGGTCGGCACTCGGTAATGAGAGCGACTATACCACATTCCAGGGCATTGTGGATCGAGCGAACTTGGTCATCCAAACGGACGACAAGGCCGCTAACGAGAGACAATCCCAGCCGCACTATGTGGCTAAGCAGACCTATCAACGTCCGGCACATAACAATGCCGTGATTTCTGAAGAAACCGACGACCACCACGCTGCAGCAGCATCCTTGGGTGATGGAGGAATTGTCGCAGCGCTCCCGCCGAAGCGTCCCAAGAGAGTTCGTAAGAACAAGGCAACACAAGAGACGGCAGCGACGGGAGCTGGGCATCCATGGACGACATATAAGATCACCAAGGAGGTCTATGACCTAAGTCAGAAGTACGGATACTGCCTTTGGTGCAATGGAGTCACCCATGTGACCGCACAATGCCCCGAAAAGGGCAAGGCATGAGTACCCCGTCCAGCAAACTCGGGAAACTGAGTTACGCAAGGAGAGGGGCGACGTCTCTCCTCACTCCGCCGGACCCGGTTGCCTTGCTAGCAATCGATGTCACTACCGGGGAGCATGCGTGAGTCGCTGATTCTCATGCTACGTACGAGGATTATGCCGCCCAGCTGGTACCACCATTAGACCAGCCTAGCCACGTGCATGTAGATTGCGTATGCGCAGCCTGTACACCGTCGGCAAGTGATCCGGTCAGTTCGCCACTGCTTTCCGAGGACTCGACAGCGTGGTCAAGACTTGAGGAGCTTGACCCGCTCACGAGAGAGGATTTCGCTTGGATACCTCTACCCTCGACCGGAACATTGCCAAGGTCGCATTGCAACGCCTTGATGGTAAATCTACGCTTCTACTTGCACACTACAGTACCAGCTCCGTTGACGAGCGACGGGGTAGCGGTTGCCGATCTCCGCTCCTATCTTGCGAAGATCGACCGCGAGCACGCCACCCAAAGGTACGCCGAAACCGACGCACCTTCACTCTATATCCGCATTCAAATCGAAAAGGCAACCTGTAGTGCCTTGACTGATTGCGGAGCGTCTCGCAACTTCATRAGTCAAGCCTTTATGGCCCGCGCAGGTCTTGGCCCGCGCGTTCGAAGGAAGACGCAACCTACGCAAGTTRCACTCGCGGACGGCCGCACGCAAAAGTCAATTGACCGATGCGTTGACGGCGTTCCGGTCTACTTTGCGCCACTTGCGTGCGAGGCGGTGTCTTTTGACATCCTCGACACCAAGTTCGACATGATTCTAGGCATGTCTTGGTTGCGTAGCGCCGATCATCCGGTGAACGTCCATGACCGAACCGTTCACATCCGTGATCGGAACGGAGTGTTAGTCCCATGTACGGTCGCGACCCCTCACACTTCGATTGCTTGTCAGGTGGTTTCCGTTGC